AACTTTGCAATGGAGCTGAAGGATCAGTAAAATAACTAGAATATTTTCCTTGCTGCAGACAGCTGGATGCTGCTAATTTAGCTACTTTCAAAAGATGGGAGGAGGAGGAAAAGAAAAACAACATTTTTATTTTGCCACACCTCTGTCAATTCAAAGAAAATGAAAACAACGAAGGCACTGATAAACATAGCAGATGGCCAGCTCTCTCCTTATCTTCAAGATAAGAATATCTTACTCTAACTGGCCTGTGGAGACCACCAGATACTACCTTCATGTTGCATCTAGCAAAAGGACTCTAGCAAAATAACTGGAGTATTTATATTTTAGTCTATTAATACTTTAAGTAAACACAATTCATACACTATATAGTTCACTAGTATAAAGTATACAGTTCAACAGTAGTTAGAAAATTTGATATCATCACAACAATCTAAGTTTGAAATATTTTTACTATCCCAAACATTTATCTTTTAAAGAATAACTGCATAACTGCTGGAGGGGTGGTGAGAAAGAAAACATTCACAATCAAAAATAAAAACTAAAAGATTTATTATGAGATAACAAATATCCTGAGTGTGAATGAAAACTATCTGCTAGAAAGTATGCATTTTAATGACCCAAAGACATCCTTTCTATTCTTAACTTCATCTTGGACACTATCTCACTATCTTCTGAAAAATGCAAAAGAAATAATTTGCTCAACTACATCATTTTCCTCTTCCCTTAAAAACAGTATGTTTTTCTTATACACCATTTCCTAGGTAGAGCCTGATGACAGCTCATTCTTTCCCTTAGCTTCTCATTCAGCTTTCTGGAACACTGTCCATATTTTACTGTATTTGCTTACTTTAAATATCTCCAGTTCCTTCCTCTGAGGGGCTTAGAAAAACTCAATACCAGAAGTAACAGGAGAGTTGAAACAACTCCTATTACCACTTCTCCTCTAACCAAATTAATTGGTTAGAGGTAGTCTAAGGTGAATTTTGTCAAAGATTTACTGAAAGAGATATGCTTCCATTTTCTCTTCCTGATCAGTTTAATTTATGGTTTCAGAAGTATTTAAGAAGCTTCCATGTGTAGGTCTTTATACAAAAACAAGCTTGCAACCTCAATCTGTTGCAAGAGATCACCCAAATTTTGATCATCCCTAGGTTACATAAAGTATTTTATCAGTATACCTAAAGCAAGTGCTCAATAAAATGCTTACTGAATATTTTTTGAGTAATGGTTTAACAACACTGAACATTTATTGAATGTCTAACTTGTACCATCTCCAGACTGTTTTTTACCTTAACCCATTTAATTCTCAATAAAAACCAAAATCATTTTTGTTGTTTTCTTTATCTCTATCATCTCTGTTCTAAAAATAGGCAACCTGAGGCTCACAATACAATTTACCAAAATGACAGCCAGAATTCAAAACTGGAGTTTGGTTTCAGAGCTCACAAACTATCCTATCACGAGACACTTATGGTTATCTCACAGCATAGGTGCCAGTCTTTTCTAGTTCAAAGAAATAAGTGCATTGCATGGGTTATAGTGAGATGCTATCTAGAGAAGGAGTTTCACTGCTTTTGTAAGAGTCGGAGATAGTGTGTATACAGTGACTACAGCGAGGAGAACTGACAATAGGGAAGGAAATGAGGGATACAGTATTTACTACTGAAGTTGTAAGTACTACAAAAAACAACAGAAAATGGATAAACTAAACCATTTGAGGAGTTAAACTATGACGATTTTTCATTCAAACCAAGATCAAGTAAACACAAAACAACAATTATAACAGCTAAAGTGTAAACCCAGGTTGAAAGTGAAACAGCACGCCATAAGTTATTCCATTAGAGTTCAACGAGTCTGACAAAGAAGATGCCAATAACAGGCTCTTGTCTGCATCTGATGTTGACAGGGGTGATGTGAGAGGGGGTGGCAGGAGTGCTGGTGGTACAATGGTAGGTCTGGGGGTGCTGGATGTGGTAGGGGTGAGAAGGAAGAGGACAAGGAGAGCAAGACGAAGAAGTGAGTAAGAAAACTACAGGTATATATGAAATTACATTACCAAAAGCTATTATAAAAACATGGTCCAAAGGAAAATGAATCTCTCTGCAATTAGACTAACACAGCCTAAATTTGTCTTTAACGTACATGTATGTTAAAGCAAAAAAGGCCCTGCATGAGCCAAAGCTACTCAAGGTGATTTGACCAAAGTCATACTTTTTCTTCCCTTAGACCACAGTTCTGGTGTGCAAACACAAATTCAATAAATAACAAGGAAAACTGTCTCAACCACTCAAGACAATAGCAGTGGAGACCTGTAGGGAATTTTCAGTTGGCAATGGTAAAGACTGTAATTTTCTGCTAACGGGATATTATCACAATTTTTCAATCTAGGCTTGAACCTAGGTTCATAGAAGCTCTCTCATGTAATGTAACATCACATCCAATACTTCTCAACTGTCTTCTACACAGCAGGTTACAATCCTGACTCCTAGGTTCTTTGGAGTTCACTATTTCCAAAGGATGTGCTGAGTACATTTAATTGTCATGGTAAATTAGCATGGCTTCTCACCATTCCTGACCCAAAAGGTTTTTATTTAAAGGAGAAAAAACACCTTTAAAAACTATTTCAGATTTCTCTAATGTATTTGGCAAATTACTATATTTTGAAATATAAGTCACAATCTTTTGGATCAATACAAAAACCAGCTAAAAGACAAAACTTGATATGCCTGCTATGCTAATGAGAGCATAAAGAAAAAGGTATTATTTTTTACATGATGACAAAAAAATATCATTTTTGTGCTATTTATATCTTTTTTCAGTTTAAAAAAAGGTGACGACACAACTTAATAGATTATAATCTGCATTCTATTTTACCATTTGTTCTTTAAGCATTCTTAGTGACTAAAATTAAAAATTTTACAATGTGCTTTTTGCACCATAAATATTCCCCAGTATATTAAACACATATGTACCTTCTGCTTTTAAAATATACCAAAAGTATGGCTAAATCTTTACCAGAAACTTTCATCATACACATGCTATTCAACAGTGCTAAATGAAACTGTTAAAACACATCATACCAAGGCTGAGAGGACAAGAACAAAACTAATAAAAATTGATATGGCAACGTAGAAGCCTCTCCCCACTTTTTAACTGCAATAGAAGGGGAAAGAAAATGGGTTCTTTTGCAAGTGAACATCTTGAGGTTAAAAGCCAGTGTGACGTACATATATGGCATGGAAAATGTCACAACTGACCATTGCTCAACAAGTGTCTTCATGATTTCTTATGCAGGAACACCACTCAAGATTGACAGAGGAGACGGAAAAAGGGAAGGACTTGGAGATTAGACAATCGTCATCTGTTGCACAGATTACTTTTTAATAATCAATTTAACAACACTTGCTCCCAATTTCTTGGCAACTGTCTGCTACTTTCCACCAGAGATTTAGGCAAAAGCCAAGCTGCACAGTGGAAGAACATCATTAATGGAAAACTAATTTCATGGATATGGAATAATTGTATCTAGTTAACTTCAACAAAATCTCTAGCTGCGATCTCGAAGTGGGTTTCCAGGGTCTTAATAGCATTTTGCCAAAATCTAACAACAGTGAAACAATTTAATTTTTGCACTTTAGCCAAAATATAATAAATAAATAAATAAAGCCACATGCCCAAGCTCTGTCTAGTAAACTAAATTTAGATTTCAACTTTAAAATAAGTTTTGACATAAATGGCTTTAAAATAACAACAGCATCTTATATTTGGGTCTTTTCCCAGTTAATTATTTCCTGGCATTGTACTAGAAATTCCTTGGCTTCACCTTAAGCCAACACTCCCAAGTGCTAATTAGGAGACTATATACATTACTAACCAGAGAATGTTGTGCTTAGAAACATGCATGTTCCATATGTGTCCAATTAATAACATTACTTCTTTCACTCTTTGAAAGATCTCTTTAGAAAATAGAGCTCTTATGTTAATGCGAAGTGAAAGTGCAATTAATAAAACGAGGCAAGCATGATACAGGATCTTTTTCTTCAAAATATCCTCAACATGAATCACATTTAACCTCACTGGAATAGTCAGTAGAGGGAAAAGTTAATGACTACAGATGTTGTACATTTTAATTGTACCAGGGAACTCCCAAAGAGAATGGACAACTCACACATGAACTAAATCACTACTGAGGAACCAGACAGGGTGTCAGTGAACATGCAACGTTAACATGCCCTTTTCCAGCACTATCTCTTCCCAAAAGCCACCTGACAGATGGGAAAAGAAACACTTGCAGAAAAGGTAGACCTAATAATTGCCTAATTACATAGGAGATACGATGTTCTTATTAATTGGCAAGCTAATTCACCTCAGTCTCAGTTTCAAACAGAAGAGTCCAGAAATCTAAACTTTGGTGTCTACACTCTACACAATTCTCTGTGTACTTCTAGACCCTCCACTCAGCCACGAAGTTGTCAGTTCTGCTTGATTTGTTTGAATATTGTATTCGACAACAGCTGTCGGAAACAGTACATTAGAACAGCTGCTGTGACAGCTACGAGGGGCTTCGAAGTTTAATTGGGCTCAATGTGACACTGTGCATTTTCCTAAACTTAGAAATATCCACACAACTAAAGAAATTTCAAATGGGTCTGAACAATGTTTACTTATGGGCACCACCAACTGCTTAGCCTCAGCTTGTGATATATCATTGGGCTCACAACATCTTTGCCACCAGGCTGCTAAGAGGTGTAAAAAAATAAAAATAAACAGTAGGAGCAGTTAGGTGCCCAAGAAAAAGGGCATTAAACAGGAGAGGAAATGGTAAGGAAGTCACATCAATAATCCCTTTCAAAGGCTGGCTGGTGGCCAGGGAGGATCCCACAGTGTCTCAGGATTTACTTCTAAAGGAAATATATTCAGAGACCCTGAGCCTGGTGCCAACTGCAAACAAACCCACTCATTATGGCTGCAGCCCCCTGCAGAAGGGGAGAAAGGCTTACTCTCAGCATTGGCCCGGAGGAAGAAGGCGAGGAGCAGCAACAGCGGCCTGGCTACGTGCACCATCCTGCAGCTTGGCAGCAGCGTGCGCTGGCAGCTTGGATTCACTGCCTCCAAAGCCGCAGCGAGTCTGTCCGGTCTGAAATTTCAGCTGGAACCCTTTCAGAGCCTGGGCAGGGAGAGGAAGAGAAAAGAGGAGAAGAAAACAAAAAGATGCTTAGAATTGTCACTTCCCCTCCACACATACACACTCACTCTCTCTCCGTTACAATCACCAAGAGATACAATCTCTGTAAACACGGTAAAAACTGTAATTACCATGCCTGTGCATCAGGAAAGAACTTGGCCTGTGAAGTGTAGTATCCTTACCACTGCCATTTCCAGACCAGCCCAGAGAGAACCACTTTGGATTTCTCTCTCTGCTTATGCCTCCTTTTGGGCAACACACTCTGAGAACTGCCACTTCACATGAACTATTACACAAATGCATCAATGGAGGAAAGCACACCAGAGCTATAAAGGAGAATTTAAGAGGAGTTCCTCCATGTAGGGTAAACGTCTACTAATGACAGAATAATGGGAGCTGTTTTCTTGGCATCAGATGAAACGACAAGGCTAACTCACCTTCTCTATCTAAATAGCAGATATTAGAATTTTTTACACCAGCTCATTTGGCTGCTTCCTTGAAGACACATCAATGTTCAACGCTAGTTTGATTTCAATAAGTCAAAACAATATTAGCAGGTGCCTCTTCAATTTAACAAGATTTCTATTTGCCTCCTGGGCAAGGGCTTCATTTTCTCAACTTTCTCCATGAAAGCAATAAGCCACAAACTATTTTAGTGCTACTGTGCAAGACCATTGGAAAGTCCCACCTGACACAAGTTAAGTTGAAGTACAAAGATAAATCAAATTCCACCCTTTCTGGGTTTCCAGATGAGTAGGGAAAACAAGATAAGTACATCAGATGACTAGCATGAGTTAATAAACCATTACTGCCCGTGAAGAAAACCAAATAATGCAATGAAAGATAAGAACAAGAATGGTATAATGGAAAAGCAGTGTCTCAGACCAGTCCAGGGAGTATAAAAGAAGATTTTAACAGGAGGGCAGGGCATTCCCTGAATTTTATGCAAATGCAGGGCCTTAAGAAGTAACCACAAAAACTGTGAGTTTCAGGTTTCTTTGGAGCAGGGCTTCCTAAGCATCACCATGATTCCTATCACTGGGAAGCTTGTTATACACCATCCCTAGGTTTGTGGTTCTGTAGGTCTATGGTGGGTCCAAGAATTTGTATATCTTAACACATTTCTTGTAACCATACGCTGTTGGCCCAAAGGTCATGCTTTGAGAACTGATGGCTTAGAATGAGGCATCTACCAGGAAAACAGAAGATGAGGCAAAAGAAACTTGTTCAAGCTTAAAAATAGGTCACAGCCTTGGATGTCAATCTAAGTCTGACAGTCATTATTCACTAAACCAGAAAAAGCTATTAAATGTTTTGGGGTCAAAAACAATGTGGAACTAGATTATGGGAAGATTAATTGACAGGCAAATCGGGGACAATTTAGAGAATACTAGTAAGCCATAGCAAGTCTCAGATGACAAGCAATCCTAGATATAAGAGTGACTGGGGTCCCGGCAGGAGTGGAAAAGGAGGAGAGCAATGACTGGCCCACAAAGTAACTGGAAGTGTGACTGTTCTGGTGATTAACTGTTCTTATACAACCTTCAGCAAAATTTAGCATGCCCTCTTATACACAGCAGATGCATACTAAAACATAGAAAAACTAAGTCCTATATTAGTGGCTTTTCTGTCACTATGACTAGAATTAGAGAACAATTATCAAAGCTTATTTGCAAAATCAATTATCAAAGCTTATTTGCAAATCATACCTTTAATGTTTGTATACTAAAATTCTTGAGATACATACAAAATTCCTGACAAGAAACAGTAGAGATATCCAGAAATAAGATAATCCACTAAAATAGTTATTGTACTTTAAAAACAATTGCAGTGCAGATACTATAGTGTGTCTCTTCTAACATCAAACATGAGAACATGTTTGAACATGCCATCAAAATATTTTTTAAAAAGATATTATCTTTTTTCATTACTAGGCAAGAGTGTTTTGAATGCAGGAAAGATGACTAAAAGGAACAAGGGGAATCTGTCTAACTATCTCTCTAGTAGATATCCTTTTATTTCCCTATCAGATTTGTAGGTTTCATGAACTAGGCTGTAGACTGAGACATCTTCTTGACTCCGCAAGCTAGCCTGCTGTTCCAAAACTGCTATTGTTTACCAATCTCTTCTGAAGACCAATACCAAGCAGCTCATAGCTATCCCATGTTAAAAATCTCAAATCTCCACAGGAAAACTGCAAAAGGAATCTGCTCTCCTTTCCCTCCCTGTCCTCCCTCATCCCCTGCTCCCCACTTCGTGCCAGCACTTCAGTGACAGCAAAGTGCAGGAGACCTCAGTGCTGTCGGACTTGATTTGTATCTGTGCAAGCGTATCAGAGCCAACTGCTATGTAATGATTCCTTGCAATCACAAGGGTGGGCACCTACAAAATGTTGACCCAGGAGAGGGTAACGACGTTTTCCTCTTACTTGGCTCAAGTATACAAGATCAAATTCTTCCAAATAAACCAAATGTTACCCCGAGTTGGAACAGTGGCAGGATATAGCACTCTCAGAATGAGTGTAGAGATGAACGTACAAATTTATGCTTAAACAGACTCTCTCTGCCCTTGGCCAAGATAGGACAAGAACAAGCAGAGAAAGGAAGATTAAACCTGTTCTAGATGCCCAATCAGTCTCCACCCCTTAGCTTATGACCTAAACAGTACAAAAAAGAAAATGCTAACTGCATGTCAGTAAGGATGAGTATATTTTACATCAAAAATAGAAAATGGATTTTTAAGGACACATCTGAAGGAAAGGTAATGAGAATGAATGATGTGCTACAAACTGGACACAAAAAAAAGGGGATCAAAGGAATCAAGAGATGGATGGAGTGGGGAGGGAGGGAAGGGAAAGGGGATGAAAATAAAGATACATTATGTACATGTACCAACTCCCCAAGGAATGTAATGGACCATTTTTAAAAACTAAAGTAGCTTCCACTGGCCTATCTACAGGTTGCAAAAGTACACTACAAAGAAAAGAATGGAGGTTAAGAAATCTGCAGTACCATGCTTTAGCTTGCATCATAAATTTTTCTGCTTTTATCCTGTACCCTTTTGCAAGGTTAACTTTGATTTTTAGTGTTTTTCATCGAGAGGGACATAAAAATACAGCTAAATAATTTGTGAGTTTGAAATTTAAAACTTTCCAGCTCATTATTTTTTCATACTGCAAAAAGCCTGTGAAAATACTTTTATTTAAAACCAGCTGAATATTCACTTCTGTGTTTATGTACCTTTATGATTAGAGGAACTACCAGTTCAGCAGGCCACGATGCATGTAATGTAATTTGAAATGGAACAACAAATAATACAGATGCCTAAAAAGCCTTAATAAATCAGGGTTTCAGGCGATTTCATAAGCTGACACCTACCCAATTCTAAAAGTATAACACTTTTCCGTAATAAGTATACTTATTCTCAAACTAACATGCATGCTAATTTTTCTTCAGCTTTGTATACTGCCAACATGTATTTCTATAGATGGTGTTAATATAAGAACAACAGGCAAAATAGGAGCTTTTCTTATTTTAAAAATATCGAGTCCCTTAAATAAATAGCTCACTTTAGGTTTTTGTGTAGGAAAGGTAGGGTATAAGTCTGGGACATTTTATCATATCAGGAAGCAAGAAATCTTTCAGGGACTGCTACGTTATTTCTAGGAAGATAATCCAACCTGACGAAATGTCCATTAGCTGCTAAATGTAAGAAAATCTGACTGGCAAAAAGCGTAATATCTAAAATAAACGAAGACACATCATTTTAAAATCTGTAAGTTCATAACTTTATTTTTCCCCCCAAATTATATCAATCACTCTAGGAAAAAGTTGAAGCAATGCTACAGTTAGGGTAAAGCCTCCCACCCCACCCCTAAGCCATGTGTTAAGGGCTTGGTCTCCAGATTGCTGATCTACTGGGAGATGGTGATGTCTCCTAGGAGGACTTCTGCTCCCAGAAGTTGTAACCTAAGGAAACACCGGGCCCTACCCCCTCCTTTGCCTCTTTTTATGTCTCACTTATGAGGGCAACAGGCCACCTCTGCCATACATTACTGCCATGATATGCCCAAAGAAAGAAGATACAACATGCACTGAAACTTTCAAAGCTGCAAGTCAAAACAAGCCTTTCTTTTTTATAAGCTGATTTGTCTTAAAGTAATAGAAAGCTGACTATACAGAAAATAAACCATTATTCTCAAAACAAGAAGGAAAAAGAAAAAAAGCAAGCATTAAAAAGAAAAATTATTTGTAAGAACATTTGTAAAAGGCACTATTACTGTTACAAGGCAAATGAGTGTCACTGCTTATCTCTAAAAAACTTTCTTACCTGGAGGACTGTCACAACTTCAAGGATAAGCTACAGTATATCATGAGTTCATTGCCAGCCTGAACTGCACAGCAAGACCCTATCTAAAGAAAAACAAAACAAAACAAAACAACTATGCTACTTTTGGTCTTATAACAAACTCATGCTCTTAAGCCTGCACACCTAAAAGAAATTACACCCTAATGATATTTAACCTGGAAATACCTCCCAATGATTACCTACTCTGCTGGGGATAGTATAGAGAGGAAGCTCTGTCCCCACCAGCCAAGACTCTTTATCAACCTCCCCCAAAAAGCCTCTATAAATCAATTAGAACTGGTTTCTGAATATTTAGGAGAAGGAACCATTTGTACAAAAGATGTGCTATCAAGAAGCTCCAATTTTTCAAAGAGACAAACACAGGGCTGCTTGAGCTAAAAGCAGAAGACCAAGGGGAACCTGAAGCCTGCAGAAAGCTCAGCAGAGGCTTCTGAGGGCACCCCATGAATTCCCTGTAATCTCAGCAGTACTCTTATTTTGCAAAAAGACAAAAGTTTTATTTGCTTCACAGAATGTAAAAGTGTTCAGATATGTAACTAAAACTTTTCCAAATAGAAATATTGCGTTGAAGAGAAAACTATGCTTAAAATGGAGTTTCAACATTCAAAAGAAAA